TTATTAAAGTGATATTCGTTAATGCTCGCAGGTGGAAGTTTCGGGCGGTGTAAAAGATTTGTTTCGAGTCGAGGTGCTGTATTACTTTTCGATTAGTAGGTAATCTTATTTTTAATATGATTAAAAGAATTATTTAATTATTAAAGTGATATTCGTAAAGAGATTACCATCTTTAGTGTGAAATAAAAATAAATTCAATCTGCTTTAAACTGAAGGTCGTGGAGTTCGTGATCGTGAAGGTTGAGGGCTGACTGCCTCTCGACTGATGAAATTGCAAATAATAGCGAATATTATAACTAATTTTAATGTGTTGTTTTTTGCTTTTTTATATTACTGCTATAATCTGTATTGTGTAAAATTTCAATTATTATTTTCGATTACCAAATCGTTGCTTAATTTTTTTCCTGTCTGTTTCAGGTACGAATATACAGCTTGCTGTGTTACGTCCCCTTTCTGTGTTGCTCTTCTGCTCAGCTGCTGTGGCATTTGGTGAGTCTCCTGATATCTTAAAATTGTAAATTTGATACTTGTATGTACGGTATATTCCTCTGCGTTAATAAAACATTTTTATTCATATAACGCACGAATAACAGATAATGTATTTGACAATTTATTAATAGCCACCAAATCAAAACCCTGTCAGTGTGCTAAATTTCGATGAGTGGCTACTCTCCTATCCTATATCAAACAGATTTGTAACGAAAGAATATGAATTTGCATACTACAAAATACAAATATTACTGCAACACACAGTATAATCGAGAATAATTCCGAAACGATGCATCAAAGATCCTGAAAATCAGGATTTTATCTCACGAAAGGAACACGAGATATAGAGAGAGACAGTTGGATGACTGGTGGAGAATATATGTGAGCATGTGGGGAAATGAACGGATTCAGTGTTGGGAGGTGAGACCCGAATTATTGTACTTAAGCAATGTTCAACCAACTGACAAATTTTAGAATTTTATATTAATATTTGGCTATTTAACTCATGTGATTACCTTCACTTTAATCTGTGATCCAAAATTTGTAGAACCTCCTCCCAAATCAATTTATAATTACGAAAGAAAAATATAGGAATAGTATTCCGCAAAAAAATAAAACGAACTGTATGATTTTCTTTGCAATTGAATCTCAAAACAACTATTAGAATGGCTACTCGCACACTACCTTGTCTATAATACTGCAATGCACAGTTGAGGATATGACCGTCAGAAGTAAAGATAACATATTGAGCTATTTTCAGTTTTAAAACAATGATTTAGTAGGTGGGGTTTAGTTACTCAGGTTCAGGTAGAATGGTGAAATTTTTAATTATATTTAATAACTGTTTTGAATTCCCCTTGTTGAAATCAACCAGAGAGGAAAAACTAGGATTGATGGCTGACAGATGTAGTTCCATTATTATATTTCTTGCTCATTTTTGTCTTAAGAATAGGATATCGAGATGGAAAATGGACATAGTGATGATATTGACCTCATTCATTGCTCGTTTTCAGTTTTTAAATTCTGAAATTATGAGAAAATGAAATTACTTGTGCATGCCTGACCAGAGAATATACAGAATTCACATTTCAGCTACTGCTTAAACGAAATCTAGAAACATATTTGGGTTTCAATTCAATGATCTGTGTTTTAAACCCAGAAAACAAACAATAAACACTTGGCGCACGCCGCTTTTTTAATTCCGGTATTCCGATTTTTGGTACTCTCTGTCCCAAACATTTGCTACTTTATATTCGAATAATTAATTAAAATTTTACTTAGTGCGTTTTCCAATTTGTTGCAGAATTAATGAGGGTAGAAAAATAACATTGTTGAATGGAGTAAAAGGTACCCCTTGAAATTTTCGAATGTCACGGTTAGTAACGATTGGATTGCATTTCTACTCAACGTTTTAATTTTATTAATACACGATCTTGTGCAATAAAAAAACATTTTTAAATTTTATTAATGTAAATTAATAAATTATTCAATCCATTCAATAAATAATTCCTGGTGAATTTACTGATCTATA